GGAGTTGAAGTCCACCCATCTTAAAGTGGCCAAGTTTGAAAAACACTGTTTTAGGACATGGCCTTTCTCCTCAAGACCCTACAGGCAATATGGGATTACTCCTCCTCATGAGTTTCGACCACCTTGTGAGCTGCCAACAGGAAGGTATCCCCCCTCTGACAGCATCCTTCGTAACACATCTAAAACTCCATCAAAATAAATAAAATCAGCCACAACCTCATTTGCTAATCACGGCTGCCTGACGGCAAGGAGACATCCTATTAATATTTACAATCTTCTGCTTGGGTTTTATTTTTTTCCAAAGGGAGGGGAAAAAGCCTCTGTGAATGATGATGCCCTTCGACAAATTTCCAGAAAAGAAGCTCATGTTGGTTATGTGAAAGAGAAAGGCACATCTCCACGTTGAACTAAATTATCAAAGCAAGAACTCTTCGTTCATTAACACTGTTGGACTGGTCAGGAACCATCGTGAAGAACTGAACTTGCATTTCTAATTTCCCCATCCTGTTCTGCCTCCCCAATTTAGTCTCCACACCCATACATTGTATACATACACACACAGAGCCCACAATTCTAAAAGACTTACTCAGGAATCAGCATCATTAACTTCAATGGGATTTACTTTTGAGTAAACACACATAGGATCTTGCACTTATTTACAACTGAAAAAAAAAATAGTTCAAAGAAAAAAGCAGCAGAAAAATCTGTGACCAAAGTGATATAGTTATTCCTGAATCCTTTGGAAGATCTTAGCAACTCATTGGCGCTGTTAAAAATTCAGGCATTATAGGAAGAGAGTCAGGTTGGTCTATGGTAGCAAAATAAAAATCAGGAAGAGTTTGGTATCACCTTTTCTGACTGGCAATTTCTATTAAAAGACATCCGCTTTGGTGAAGCTTGTGCCTTTTAATAAGATGTATTAGTTGGAAAAGGTGCAAGCAGGTTCTTCCTGATCTGTTAATATTTTAGCTTCACATTAACTGGACTTCTTTTAATGAAACAGTTGCAAATTTAGATAAAATTAAAAAAAAAGCAATCCTTGACCCAAAGAATGTGATGACAAACAAGCTCGCATCTGCTTTGTCCACCTCTACTGCAGTTGACAGATGGATGCCGATAAATTACTTGGGCAATTTGTTTTAACATAGGGCAGCTGCTGAAAAAGAAACTTCAGAAAACTTAGCAGAGTTTGGAGGAAGCGAAGACCCACAGCACTCCCTGGGACTTACTCCCAAGTAAACCTTGCTTGGAATTGCCCTGCTGATGTCTCCTATAGAAAATTTAGCATTGTTTCTGCGCTGCAGACCAACTCAAGCTGGGAGCAGCTGAAAAATTATTGCAGCGAGAGAGAGAAAGAGAGGACCTTCTCATCCATGAGGTGGGAAGAGGAACTTCAGTCCTGAGAATTTAAGGCTCCCACCATGTTCATTTGCCTTCTGCGCAGCCAGTCAACAACTGGAAGTAGTGCGTGAGACGAGACAAGGCCTCAAAGGCAAGGGAATTCACACAGTCCGGGGGCGTCACTGTGACCGAGTGCGGGAAAGGAAGGCTAAAATGTTCCTGATGCCGTTCAGACGAGCTTTCAGGGATGTCATGGCCAGGAACGGAAGCTGTGCTCTGCTCTCCAGGGGAAGAACAGCCAATATCCACCAGCACCAGGCGGGGCCATCAGGGTTCATCTGCAACAGAAAAGACACACCTGCCACAAACCTTATGGCACACATAACTGGAGGCAGATTCAGGATAGGTAAGAGGAAGCCCCACTTAACGTCACTTGAGATTGGCCTGTGGAACTCCCTGCCATTGGATATGATGGCCGCCAGCTCGGACAGCTTTAAAAAGGGGATGGATAAATCCCAAAGGGGTAAGGCTACCAATGTCTACTCAACACGATGGCTAGATCTTACTTCCAGGATCTGAGGTAGTGCCTAGGGAAACATAAGCAGGGAGGTGCCAACAATAGGATCTTCTCAGAAGCACTGGGTTGGTTAGCTATCATGGGTTGAAAGCCTTGGACGAGGTAGACCATTTTTAGATTGAAAAGCTTCACCCTTTTATCTTGCTACGCCAAAGCAGCACTGACTTTCTTGAACCCCTGAAGACAAAGGCAAACATCAGCGTAATAGACTGCCACCGCTGGGTGGACTGTCTGGTTGAAAAGGAAAGGAAAAAACTAGATAGCAGGTCTCTTCTTAAAAAAATCTAAAATGCCTGTGTTCTAGCAGGTGAGGAAAAGTTGCCCTTCTACTGAATTTATTTATTCAATAATTATCAATTTATTAATGAGATAATATTGACTGCTAGAATCATCAGCTGGAAAGGAAGCTATTTATCCCAGGCTACAATTCCTAATGCTGTCCAGCACAGGGGACATCCTGGCTACAGAAGATGGGGATTGGCGCCCCGGTTATCTGGAGGAGGTTGGCTTGGCAAAGGTAGAAATTTTCCCCATTTAGGATGGAGGTGATATAATGGCATGTGGGAAAGACCTTGGGAGACTGGGCCAAGAGATGCTGCCTAGGGAATGGTCAGGTAAGAGACAGCATAGCCCAAAGCAGGATAGTGGGCAAGGCAAGAGGCTCAGAAGGGACCCTGCCTAAGTTCTCAGGCTATAAAGGAGACCGGGGAGTGGGGGGGGTGAGAACTGTACTTTCAGACTTGCAAGATTGATATCAGCTTTACGAGGTAGACCAGACAGGAAACATGACCAGATCAGCTAATTCTACTTCATTGTAACGCTACATTAACAGAATCTTGCAAGTCTGAAAGTACAATTCTCCCCCCGCCCCATCTCCTTTACAGCCTGAGAACTTAGGGAGGGTCTCTTCTGAGACTCTTGCCCCATTCACTATCCAGCTGTGGGCTATGCTGTTTCTTATCTGACCGTTCTCTTGGCAGCGTCTCTTGGCCCGGTCTCCCAAGGTCTTTCCCACGTACCATTACAAGTGAGCAGAGTTAAGGGTCACACCTCTCGATTCTTGCTTGTACCTGTGGGTCTGATTCTTTAAGAGGCATTGGACCAAAGTGATGGAGAATGCGAATCTTGAGTGCAGATTTCAGAGAGCTGAACCACCTGTAGGCCTGGTCATACACGAAATCATGGAGGAGCATCAATCCGGCACGATCCTCTCCTTGGACCTATTATTGGCAGAGAACACAGAAAGATTTTAGGTTGAACCTGGGGATATAGGAGAAAGAAGAGAAAGATTTCTTCAGACATCTTTATGGCTATCACAACTGGAGGATGATAATGGGCTAGGACTGTGCAGCTGGCCCACCTCACCCTTCCCCCCCCAAAATAAAAAACACCTAAAGACACTACAAAACCCTACCATTAAATGAAACCATCTCTAAACTTAAAGAGAAAAGGATTAAAAAAAACCCAAACTAAAAAAGAAAGAAAAAAATCTACCTTATATATTAAACTTATCAAAAGTCACTGGTTTACTAAAAAATACCATACACTGTTATCATCAATAAAAAATGTCATTGTAAAGTATCACAAAACCTCTGCCAAAGTAGTACATTTTGCCTCATCCTTTGATTAGTATGAAATATTGTCTTTTCCAAAACAGGTCACACATTTCCAAAACCCATTCCTTAACATCTGGAATCATGGGGTTGCTGTACAAATAAAACCAAAACAACGTCACTTCTTACCAACAAAGATAGTAAGAAGTTTCTTATGGTGTTATAAAATATACTATTGGTTATTTTGCGAGGGGCCACCATGTGCTTCCTATCATCCTCACAAGAATCTTGTCAAACAGGTTGGTGTTAACGGTGAAGACTCCTTGGAGTTAAATTTGCTTGCTGACACCTTCACGGTCATATCTATGGAGTTCTCTAGGCATCAATGTCAAAGAGCTTGCATTTTCAAGGTCGGCTAAGGTTGGCTGGGTGATACAACCTGCTTTTATTCCTTCACTATTGTTGATGGGGAATTGCATTTGATGCCAACATGGAACTTCAGTTCTAGACCTTCCATCTGATGTTTTTCAACTACTGGATTTCTTTTTTATCCATCAGAGCAGTGTTTCTCAACCTTGGCAACTTTAAGATGAGTGGACTTCAACTCCCAGAATTC